GACAAAAATATTCATCTAAATTAGAGAATTGAGAATATCATCATGAAATGAACAAATCTGAGAGATGTCCACCTGAGTTTCCTTTATGTATAACAAAGCAATTGGTTTCCGGTTTTAAAAAGAAGTAAAAAATATCACTTTTTACCAAAAATATTCACCAAAATCAGATATCATTCACGACATGAAAAAATCTAAGTGAGGTCTACCCAAGGTACATGTACATATTTTTCAAGTCGAAAAAGTTGATGCAGACGATGGCGGATGCAGGACACCGACAGACAATCACTCGTAGGATAAGCTCTGCTTGACAAAGTCAACAACGGAGCTAAGAATGACAAAAATATTCACTAAAAATTAAAGATATCACAAATTGTACAAATCTGACAGGGGTAAACCCCAATGCATGTGCACTATTAATATCAGCACTGTTGACTAAATTGTGACATAGTAGAGATCACTTAGGCTTTTAATAGTTTTTGGAAATTATTGGCTAATTTGCTTAATTTTTGGCAGATTGACTTCTCATGAACAAATTGCCAACAAAAATTCAGCAGTTTTTGAGAAGAAGTCACCCACAACCAACCATCCAGACTTTGGACGCCGAATACAGCATCACCTACGGCCCATTGAGCTAAGAAATGTTATTAAAGCTCAGCCTCCAATGCATGCATAAATTAATTTATTTGACAATACAGCAATGACATATCACTCAGATATATGGATGATACAACAAACACACAATATATAAAGTTGGAAGAGTAGGAACCACAATATAAAGTGAGCATAGAGTGAGTTTCATCATTTTATTTAGTCATGATTTATATTTAGCATAGCTTTGATCAGTAAAACATTTCCTGAATACAAAAATGTAAATCAATCAGAAGTAATGTTACAGAAGACTTAAAGGGTCATATGCTGTAATATGCGATTCAAAGGGACATGTGCTGTGATATGGAACATGAGGGACATTTTTCAAGATGGGAGACACCTGAATTAAAGTAACGATGTGATATGAAATCACTTAAGCGGACATATGCTGTGACAGGACCCATTAATTTAAAAAGACATGCTAATTACTGGGTAATATTCTATGATCTTCTTATAAATGCTGCAGTTGTTTCAGAACAGTAAACCTTAAGGAGAACATTTTTCAGGCTGTTTTTATGTATGTAAATTGTTCAAGGTTTGTTTGAGACAGGATTAATTATGTAAACATTGCATGTTTCTTATGGCTTTTATGAAATGAAACTACAGATACCAGTAATACAGATATACTTGTATGTATAATTATGATTGTTTTCTGCGGTATTTATATATCATCTGTGGCTTCTGCAAACTTAGGTGTACTTCAGTCTTTGATCAGTTATTGATTTCAGTAAGTTATGCCAAGTTTGTTGATCAATACTAAAAATTTAATGACAATGAAAGAAAATGGGAACAGCACTGAACCAAAACAGATTAAAAACAATAGTGCAAAAAGAAATAGAACTTCTATTGAGTTAAAAACTATGCTTAAACTACGAAACACAAAAGAGAAAATCATAGAATGTTTGTTTACATTTTGAATACTGTATTAAGTAATCACTGGTCTTTAATTTCGCCAATAAGTAAAACCTGCCAAGTCCCATGCGAGTTTATAGAACGTAAATAGAACCTATTGTTTCTCTGCTAAGTTGATGAACTTAAAACCCAATGAAATTTATCAAAACATCAAAATAGTGAAATTAAAATCCAGTGAAAATAAATTGTTTTACAGTATTCATTGACCTATCTGGGGAAATGGATAAGAATAACACGTTACTCATTAATTTCAAAGTGTTAATTTCATCTAGTGAATGAGCACCTATTAAAAGCAGGGGAGACATCCCCTGCGCATGCGCCAGATGGCCATAGCGTGTCATTGTTTACAAACAAGCGTTTACCAATTGCGTTTTTAGCGTGTGTTGTTATCGTCGCTTGGGACTCAATTCCCGCGCGTGCGCAGGTGATGACCCTCCTGCTTTAGTATCAAGCAATGAATAATATTACATGAGCAAAAGTCTAACTACAAAAGTTTCTCTTGAATTTTGCATTAAATAGTTTTCAAATTAATGTAATTTTGTTCTAAAGTGATACAGTCTTTATGTGTGTGTGGGTGTGCGTGTGTGTGTGTGCGTGCATTCAAATGTTGTGTTATTTGTTGTGTATTTTACTTTGCCTGTGTTGTTTACATCACATGGGACCCACATTAAACACATGACAATGACTGTAGCGCTTTGAATGTCTCTTAGAAATCTTCCTCTTCGAACAGCAGCAGGGGACACATGATGAAGTTGTTTGAGTTAAAACGTTATGTTTTTCATATTAGTGTTATTCATTCATTTTTTTTATATCACTCAATCTTCATCCTCTCCAAACATCATATCACACATGATGGAGTTTTCCGGGTGTAAAAGATAAGTTTTTTCTGGAATATATACATCTTTAGAGGATTCCCTGACAAATGGCTTCTCAGAGGACGGAGTTTTCTCTTCTTTCTTTATTTTGTGCCTGAAATAAATCAACAAATCTTCCAGTTATAATTCTCACAACAGTTGCTTTGCTAGAATTAAACAATACTTGATGACATTTTCACTGTGCTAATTTACATATCAGTTTGCTACTCATGTACCACTGTGCTAATTTACATATCAGTTTGCGACTTATGTACAACTGTGCTAATTTACATATCAGTTTGCGACTCATGTACCACTGTGCTAATTTACATATCAGTTTGCGACTCGTGTACAACTGTGCTAATTTACATATCAGTTTGCGACTCATGTACCACTGTGCTAATTTACATATCAGTTTGCGACTCATGTACCACTGTGCTAATTTACATATCAGTTTGCGACTCCTGTACCACTGGGCTAATTTACATATCAGTTTGCGACTCATCTACAACTGTGCTAATTTACATATCAGTTTGCGACTCATGTACCACTGTGCTAATTTACATGCCAAAGTAGAAGACAGACAATTTCATCATAAGGGATGGTCAGATGTCATTTGAGGTGACGTAAATAATCACAATTTTGGACAAACTTTATTTTATGGTATTATCATAATGTATATATAATATCGCGAGTTAACAAGTTAATGAACTCACCTAAATTCAAAAGCTGGTTGGCTCATCTGTAGACATACCATGACTGGCTGATCAGAGAAATCTACTGATGTTGTGAAATGCATGATGGCCTCTGCGTCTGCCACATAATTTAGACTAGCTTGCCCAAAGCCAGCATCAACAGATGTAGACCCTTTAATGACCATAGCGCCCCTGTCACAAGAAACATACATAATATTACCAAACAATTACAATTAATATCACTTATATATTTATTTTTAAATAAAGTCAGGAAACATTTTTTTTGTTTTCAAGGCATAGCATATATACCAGTGTATCAAATTTAGAAATACCTCCAAAAATACATACAAATGGACATAATTACATTTTATATAATTATGGAATGCCACAATATTTAGTACGTGCCAGATTCAGTACTCAATTTTTCAAGAGTTGTTGCCATACCAACTGATTTTATCAGTTCTAATGCTGATCACAATAATCAGGAGGAGAGGTGCATTTGCATATACCAAGTGCAAAGGCAACCTCAAAGGACGATGTCGTTGCACAGGGCATGTTTAACGACCAAGGAATTAAACACATGTTAAAGGTGGACCATTGACCACTGCCCTTTAAGTATTATATTACACACTTGAAATATACGCCCCCCCCCCTCAGTAAATTGTTAACTTACACATAAACACACCAAAAATTCCAGAGAAAACCAGATTCTGTTTTCATTGTTCTGCTCTATAATAAGAACTTTTTTTAGGAACTCACTCCAAAACATGCCGAATGACGGAATATTAAGTCATCATAAAAAAATTAAAACTGAACAAGAAAATAGGTATAAAACATACAGAAAGAATCATATTAATTTTTCACTTCTACAAAACTTCGCAATTTTCCCTGACTCGCGAAAATTACATCGCTATGCAAATTTAAAGCATTTTACGGTATACTGCAGGAAAGAAAACTATTAGGCAGCAGACAAAAATTAAACAACATATTTAAGTTGTAACGGCAAGATTATTTGTAACAGGAATGGCAATGATGGCAGACAATTGACCTTATTAAACCTTTCCTTTTATCAAAGATACAGAATCATTTATAGCTTCTTAGATGAATTGCGCCCTCTTCTGGCAAAACATTAACATACTAAAGTTGGCCAGAATCCAATGACTTTTTTTTTAATAGATTAAAGCGGCAATACTCACCCATTTGACACAAGTGATAGGGAGTTCTTATCCCATAGGCTGACCTCAACTGACCCAGATAAATCCAATGATAGACTACTTCTCAACTGATTGTCCACATTTATACCACTTTGTAATGCAATTCTCTGTAGAAAAGGAAAATTCTATGAGATATGCAAATCACTCATAGTCTAACTCGCAGCCTCGGTGAATTCAATGACAAATTGTAAATTCCTAACCATGAATTTAATCAGCATATACATGTATACACATCTATATTTACAAGAAGATTCTAAATTTGAAAGTGAGTGTTTTAAAAAACAAAATACATTAAAACAGCCAACAATGAAACAAAGGTATGTAATTTATTTACCTTAAGTGACTCACACATAGGCATATTTACCAGTTTATTTATCTTAGATGAACCAATGATTCAGTTTTTGTATAAGTGATCCACACAGGTGTATATTCAATTTATTTACCTTATGTGACTCACACATAGGCATATTTTCCAGTTTATTTATCTTAGATGAACCAATGATTCAGTTTTTGTATCATAAGTGATCCACACAGGTGTATATTCAATTTATTTACCTTATGTGACTCACACATAGGCATATTTTCCAGTTTATTTATCTTAGATGAACCAATGATTCAGTTTTTGTATCATAAGTGATCCACACAGGTGTATATTCAATTTATTTACCTTATGTGACTCACACATAGGCATATTTTCCAGTTTATTTATCTTAGATGAACCAATGATTCAGTTTTTGTATCATAAGTGATCCACACAGGTGTATATTCAATTTATTTACCTTATGTGACTCACACATAGGCATATTTTCCAGTTTATTTATCTTAGATGAACCAATGATTCAGTTTTTGTATCATAAGTGATCCACACAGGTGTATATTCAATTTATTTACCTTAAGTGATCCATACAGAGGTATATATTAAGTTTATTCACCTTAAGTGATCCACAGCGATATATATTCAGTTTATTCACCTTAAGTGAATCTTACAGGT